ACTGCATGTAATGCGTGCCATTGTGCAACTGAAGGTCTGCACCTTCTCATTTAGTTCGTCCAGTGTTTCTGTAATTATTGTTCTCTTCTTCACTCACTTTGGATGCGCAACATTGCTATGTCCGTTACTGTTCTTGAGAGCTGCGAGTGTAGCGATGGCGTAGAGGAAAGGCTGTAAGGCATGTCATTCTGTCATTTCTTTATGAGCTTCCGCTGCCTCAATGGATGTTCTCAAATCTGCTGAAAGGTCCAGGTCGTTCGGATGACCTATGACGTTTGCAATCGAATCTTTTCAGATCTTTTCCGTTATGTCTGCGGTTTTGAAGGGAGTGAAACAGGCGGCAAGGATTTTGGTGAAGATCCAAACATATTTGACAGCATGGGTTGAGTGGCGTCGAGTCCAAATCGCAGTCAGTCATGCATTCAGGGAGTGTATAGACTACCTTGCTTGATATCGACACATCCTCATTGTGGCAGATGTGGAGACAGCTAAAAATAGGCATCACTTAGCGTAGGACGAAGAGGACATGAAGGTTCGCAGGAACTTGGGATGAAGAGGGGGTTGCCAAAGCTTGCGGATGGGAAACTGTACGTGTAGTCCTGTCCATTTTATCAAATCAGACATGACACGTGTTCATGATGCTGCTACATACACCATGACATACGACACGTGTTCATGATGTTGTTACATACACCATGTTCACGATGTTTGCTACACGCACTATGACTTTCGACACGTGTTCATGATGTTTGCTACACACACTATGACACTCGACATGGGCTCATGATGTTGCTGCACGCCGTTTGACACGTGTTCATAATGTTGCTGCATACACTGTAACTGTAACATTTCACATGTGTTCATGACATGCCCACGCGGGGTGGGGTGGGGGGTGTTGGGGTGGGTGTTGGGGTGGGTGGGTGGGTGGGTGGGGGGATAATGACATTCATGTGTGTGTACAGCTAACATGCATACGTCCGACATCTTCATTTTCAGTACATACACCATGACCTTCGACACGTGTTCATGACGTATTCAGGCTGTAATAAAATGCGTCATAGACTCTTCAATTATTGGACAAACTTGATGGAAAAAGAATGAGTGTCCACACTGGTGGCATTGACAACGCATGGAAGATGATGAAGTCTGCCATTCCAAGCGCACTTGCATCCAAAAAGGATGGGCGTGCAAATCCTCATAAATCCTCTGCTCCTGCACTACGCACGACAATGGGAGTGGAGGTGGGAAAACACGCTTTCCTCCAACTTTAGCCGTAGAATGGCGGAAGCCTACCGAGTCTGAGACGCCTGAGAGTAAAAAAGGGTTGCCGCGCGATGTTTTTGCATTTCGCTCAGGCGAAAATAGAAAGGGATGAAGAAACGATCCTCGAAAAATACAGTGTTTTTGACCTCCTATCTTGCATTGCGTGCAAATAGCAGTCAGTGACATATGCATTAAAGTTTCCCCCCAGGGGCAAAAAACAGTTTTTGCATCCAAAAGCCAAAAACACATGCATGAGAAGGAGCATGGGAAACACGACATTCTGTGCTTCAAAGTGACTATGCCATCAAAGACAGAAGTGTCAAAACGCACGCGCGGAAAACCACCCGCCGGGATATTTATGCACCCAAAGGCTTTGTAAGCAATGATGCACCCAAAAGCTCTGCAAGCAAATGATGCACCCTAAGGCCCTGGGAGCAAATGCGCGCCCTACTTTTGCGCTCTCTCTACTTGAAGGAAGGCATGAAAGGAAGACTTCCGAACGAAAGAATAAACAAGTCAAAACATGTGATCATGCAAGTGTGCTAAAGGATTGAACATAGGACAGGAGAGGGGTGCTAGCCTAAGGGACGGAAGGACAAATGCGAAGCAAGGTGACAAGAGAACCTTCCTGGTTGTAATGATGCAGGATGTCCTGGAAATATTTTTTCTGCCCATATTCTTTTTGTTCATTTCCTCCGTCACTCAGAAAGCAAACTGTGCAAAAAAGGTCCGTAAGAGGAATGGAGTACGCAACAAGGATCAACGAGGGTAAAGAACAGAATTACACATCCATGATATTGTGCAATTTTAGTCGCTCTTGTCGTATGGCTGCATTCTGCCTGTCAGTATGCTCCTGAACTCTGCGTTCCTCTACCTGGATAGCTAGTCAGCTAGCCTAGTCTATCTTACCCTAGTCTTTGGCACAATTACTTAAATTTGAGTTGCACTGTTGCAATGGTTTCCAGCAGTGGTTAGAGACAAGATCTTTCCACAGCCGACCAGAACTACTATACAGTTTGTCAACCGCAGACCAGGAGTATATATATACTATTTGCTCGCTTCTGCTTTATCTTGCAAACCACAACATTGCCCTACCCTGTGCTACTTCTCCTGTTTGTATTCCACTTACACTTATTAGTTCAGGAAAGGACGTTATACGGGTGTGTGTTTTGCAGTGTTCTCGAAAACGCGTGTTTTTGGACTTTGCATGTTGAAGGTGTTCAGACGTTGAGGACGAGACCTTGTAGTTGTTGGTGGGTGCTCGTTGCCTGCTAGTGAGTAGTAGACTTCCTAGTTCACCAGATCTTGGGGGGGGTCGGCCAAAAAAAAATAGCGCCAATTTTTTTGCCGACCCCCCCTGTTTCTTATTTTTGGGCCCCATTCGCTGTTGCTTCATGAATGTTAGTGTTATATAGTGTTATGTATGCTCTTACGCAATGCATATGAACCGGCCATTACATTTGGCTCAAGGTACATCTTGTGCGATAGAAAAGCCGCTTAGCTCGCCTTCGCTCGCACGCTCTTGTGTACTTGTTAGTCTGTAAGCCGATCCAGGTCGACACTGCTGTTATACCGCTCCACTGCGGGGATTCCACCCTCACCCCCCGAGGTACTACCCCCCCCCGAAGTACTACCTGTGGGGCGTCAAGCTCCCACAGGTCACAGCGTGAATGGCGTGAAGCTCCCAAAGCTCACGGGATGAATGGCGTTACCGCCGCCATTGCCATTAGCATTGCCATAGGTTAAGCATGAATGGCCATCACCAGTACTATGGCCCAGTGGCATTAGCACTACCATTGCTATTAGCATCAGCATTAGCATTACCATTGGCATGGCCACTACACAGAGTGTGTGGCCTCAACCTCCCACAGGTCACAGGGTGATTGGCATCAAGGTGAATGGCATTATCATCACCATTGCATTTGCGTTGCCATCACCATTTGCATTAGCGTTGCTGCAGAAACCGGCGTTGCCATTGTGATCTCAGGTCGAGGGTGAACGGCATCAAGCTCCCACTCTCAGGGTCACAGGGTGCATAGCTCCCACAGGTCAAGGGGTGAATGGCATTCCATCACCGGTGTCATGAGCATAACCATTGCCATTAGCATTGCCACGCGTCACAGGGTGAATGGGCAGTGCCCTTACCATTAGCATCACCATTGCTATTGGCATCAGCGTTAGCATTGCCATTAACATTGCCAGTACCATAAGCGTGAGCATCAGCATCAAGCTCCCACAGGTCACAGGGAAAATTACATTATGGTGAATGGCATCAAGGTCCCACATGGCATTGCCACAGGTCAAGCGTGAATGGCCGTTAGCAGTACCATTTGCACTGCCATGAGCATTACCATTGATATTCGCATCAGCATTAGCATTGTCATTAGCATTCCCAGCACCATAAGCATTAGGATTAGCATCAGCATCAAGGTTGCACAAGAAATGGCATTTCCGTTTCCATTAGCATGGTGAACGGCATCAAGGTCCCACGGCTGACAGGGTGAATGGCATCCCATCATCATTGCCATTGGCATTTCTATTGCTATTAGCATCACCACATGTCAAGGGTAAATAACCATTACCAATACCAATAGCAGCACCATTAGAACTGGCATTGCCATTTCGATTCCCATTGCCACAGAACAAGGGTAAATGGAATCAATTGGAATCAAGCTGCCACAGGTCACAATACACCTATAGGTGCATACCTCCCACGGGTCAAAGGGTGAGTGGCGTTCCATAACCATTGCCATGAGCATTACCATTGCCATTAGCATTTCCACACGGCAAGGGTGAATGGCCATTGCCGGTACCATTAGCATTGCCATTAGCATTCCCAGTGGTTCGAGTGCCACCAGCATTAGCATCAAGCCTCCCCCAGGTCACAGGGCTAATGGCGTTACCATCTTCATTACCACACATCACAGGGTGCATGGCATAAAAGCTCCCACAGGTTGGTGAATTGCATTGCCACCAGCATTGCCATTAGCATTATCATCACCATCTGCATTACCATTGCCACAGGTCAAGGGTGAATGGCATCAAGCTACCACAGGTCAACGGTGAATGGTTGTAACAAAAGAAGGATCCAATCTTCTGTGGGAAGCATCCAGGACAGATTACAATACCATACCCAATGCTAGACCTATTGCAACCTTAAACAGTGCAAAAACATCAAAAAAAGCAACAAAACACTGGGAAACACACACCTGCATAGTACATTATCTGAGTCTCATTGCATTTTTGATTAGAGTAGAGCACAGGAGTTGAGATGAAGCTGAATGGAGAGGAGTGGGTGAGTAGGCAAGGGATAGAAAGTCATAAAATAAAATCTTTTCTTTCTCCGTGTGCACCCTAAAGAAGCTATATACACTCCTCTTTCCTCTTGCGCTCGCCAAAGACTCTGTCCGCGGCCACCAGAAGCTACATTGAGCAAATACGCATCCTGTCTTTACCTCCTATTTTTTCTGTCCTCTGCCAGTGTATCGCCCTCCACTATCGTTTATGGACTCTTTCCTTGGCACTTCATGTTCCATACTCTTTACCGTTAAGCTTGATACTACACAAGGGTGAAGAAGTAGAGTAGAGCAGCCGTCCAATAGATAGTGCGGAAAAAAAGGTTGTTATATTACACGTGTAAAGGTCCCCATCACGTGTATATATATAAATATTTACAGATATACATATATATATAAGTATACATATACATATATACATATACATATAAACAGGCCCCAGCGAAACAACAAGTGGACCTGGATCTTTGTCCGTGGTGGCTTTGTTGCGCATCCACAGCAAGCTCAAAACATCTGTGCTGCCGGCGAGCTTTTCAAACCAGTGCTATTACTTGCCCTGACTTGAACGAGCAGTATTTCACTTCTCGTTGTGCATAAAGGTGAAAAAGGCTGTACTGTATAGTCATAGTCCGTTGTGAGGCTACTTGTAGGCTCACATCTGAAACGATTCTGCATGCACATGGACGTGGGCGTTGGTCTTGTCCGCGTTCAATTGGTCTGCCGCCACCAAGGTGGACTCAACCAATGCATTGGGTCCACAAACAAACACGCCAATGTCAAAAATGTCCTGGGACATGGCGCTCTCGACTGCTTTCTGCATAATGCCCGGTATGTCTGGCCGTCCTGTCTTGATGAAGGGAGGGAACACATGGGTATCGCTAGCCTTCCCACTGAAGTGGATGTTTCGATGGTCGGGGAGGCGGTCAAAGTACGAGCCACAAGCGTTGCTGAAGTACTCCACTGCTACATGCTGAATAAGGGAAGCACTCCGGCAACTCCAAATCACATAGACATCCTTGCCACCCTTGATGAGGTATGGAGCTATTGAAGCTGCAGGAGTGACGCCCACACCACCAACCACGAAGATAATGACTTTCATGGGATCTAGGGATCCCAAACCCCCACCATAGGGTCCAGTCACGTAAAACTTCATTGGTTCTTTCGGTGAAAGCTTTGCAACAGCATTTGAAAGTCTTTGTGTCCATGTCCTGCCCTCATTCACCTTGAAAATGAATTCCACTTCTGCATATTCTCGATCGAGGCCACCACACTTTCGGACGATGGCCGTGAATGGATGACTTAAGGGTGAAAAGGCTTCTCTGCAAGCAACAGACATCCACGCTCCGGGAAACAAAGTACTTCTCAGCTTCCGCAGCTTCACGGAGATGTGAGCTGGCCCACCATCTGCTGGCAACAGCCGAGGAGTTCCAATCACCACTGTTGGCTTCAAAAGCACATCGTAGCGGCTGTAGATGAAGTCCCCAATCCAGAACAGGGAGGCCGAAGCAATCCACACCAGCGCAACCCAGAATCCACGACCCAGCACTCCATCCACGTTCAAGGAAAGTATATGGAAGGTTGCTATGATCGTAATCGCAGGTGCAATGAAGTGTGTGAGCTTGAAGACAGAGTAGCAATGAACTCGGAAGTTGTTGATTGTGAAGGGGAAAACAATCAAAATGCACCCCAGAAGCAAGTAGGCTGTGATCACCTGATGCTCTGGAAGATTTTCAGGGCCAAACGAAGCCATGTATGTGATTCCATGCAAAAGCATGAATATGCTCGCGACTGTGCCAACAACATAGTGAGCTTTCAAAGTCTTCTCGTATGAGATTTTGTAGAAAACCCAAGCCAAAGACCATCTCCTTGTGCCCAAATATGTTGCCATGGAGATCATGTACACAGTCATACGGCCCACCCAGCCAGCCAGAACAAAGTCTGGAAGGTAGTACGTGTTGTAGTGGATGCTCCACAACACAGACAAAACAGCTGTCACAACCAAGAACCAAACAAGCATGATGAAGACACCCAAAGGCATCTCGACATAGCTGTTGAGCAAATTTCCCAAGCACTGCGAGTTGAATGGCTTGGCCATCGGACGTCTCAATAGCCTATCCTGTGTGGCTGGAGAAGTTGCAGCCATGATGACCTCGTTTAAGAACATCGGAAAGATGATGTAAGCGACCAAAGCCGCACCATCTAAAATGTTCTGCTCAGTAAAGGCTTGCTCCGCTCGGGAATCACAAGAACCTTTGGTAGGTAAGCCGCCCAAAGCATCCATACTATGAGCCATTGCAAAGTATGCTGTGGCATCTTCACCGCACATAGGCTCAATCACTGCGCTTCCTGCAACGTCAACATCACAATCAACAGGAGTGAATCAGTGAATGGTCAAATACCAGTGACAAAACTGTGCGGCGGCATTTATTTGGTACTAAACTCAAATACACTATCTATTATGTGAGGGCCTATCTCGTTTAGACTACTTAAGTAGGAGGTCATGTCACAGTACCTCGTTCAGACTACTTTAGTAGCCAATCACCCTATCTCGTTCAGACTACTTTAGTGTCATCAAGCAACAGTATCTCGTTTATGTGGGGCCCTATCTCGTTCACAAGTGAATACTGATGATAGACAAGCAAATAGAGCATGCCGTTGACTACTTTAGCAACGCCTAAAAAAAAGTGGTTGCTCAACTGTGAGGCTTATTGTTTGTGACTGCGGTGCGGGAAAAATGACAAATGTCACATGCTTGAAGCTCCAGCTACACGCCAGAACCAACCCAACATAATATCAGATGAGGACAATGGAATTCATACAGGTCCATAATGGTCCATAACTCATTCAGCAAAATGCAACAACAACAACAGCAACAACAACAACTGCAAGCAGCTGACCAGGCAGCCTCATCCAGTGCTGGCACCAACTTGGGTGGAGGTTCAGCGCCAATGGACGTGGGAGGCATCACACATGGTCACACACCGTCAATGAAAACGCAGCACAGTAATGGACATGGGCAGGGAGCAAAGGATATGGGGGATATAACAAAGGAACAGCAACGAAAAAGGCAAGACTGATTAGTTACCTATGGCAGCAACCATGGCAAAGGAAGAACCAAAGGAAAGAACAAGAGCAAGCAAGCAACCAACCTTTGAAAGAAGTCTGTACAACATGGGTGTTGCGTGGTAAAAGCACAGGTACAGGACACACTGGAACAGGAGGCAGACTAACACCAGTTGAAGCACTGATGTATGACGAACGCACCACCAAGACATGTCAACAAGCTTCCCCAAAAACATTTGGCAAAATGCTATCTCCAACAAAAAAATCAAAAAAATATTGTCGATTCTACGACTTGGTGCCAGTTCCAGCAAATCAATCAAAGTGGCTGTGGGTATTTGGACAAACACAAGCATGGACATGCGCAACAAATTGAAAAACACACTACATTTGTCTGAAAGGTCTAGACGAGCAGAGAGTGTTTGTCGTTCATACACAGGAAAATGAATGCAAGGCAAGTGCACTCCTTGGATCTCCTTGGCCTTGGAATTGCGGTATCAACTGGCCAAACCTCTTTGATATGGTGGAGGACATTTCCTTCACGATAAACACAGTAAGTTCCTGCAATCACGATCACGGAACTTATATATATATATATACACATTATATATATATATCTGGCTCAAGCTTCTCGGCTCAAGGGACCAGGTGGCTCAAGCTCTTCGCCTTGGGCACTTCACGACTCCCTCACGCAGGTCCTTGAGGAGAAGCAGGGTGGCCTCGGCGAAGCTACCACATGAAGTACAACGCATGGAATCGGCAGTACAGGTCTGCAAGCATCCCAGCTGTGGCAATTGGATGTGGGAAGATAAGATTTGTGAGGGCTACACTTGCCGCAAATGTGGTCAGAGCTGGGCCAAACCAGCTGCGGGTTTCCAAGCCAGATCTCCGTCCAGATCACGAGGGAGGTTCACTCCCCGACAGAAACCCGTTGCTCCCCCTCCAGGCCTGGGGAGTACACGAACATCCAAGCTCTCTCATGTCCACAAGGCCACGACGGATTTGCTCAGGTCCTCCTGGACTACCTTGGATTCCAAGCTTCAACAGCAGCTCGAGCAGTTGGGCATCAAACCCACGCCTCCAAGTGCGGACCCAGATGACCTGACTCACGTGCTCAAAGAGAACATGGCGCAGCTGCCAACGGCAGTCAAGGAACTTGTGGAGCGCATCACGAAACCACCTCCCGAGACCGAGAAGGACATGGCACTCAAGCTCAAAGCTCAGGTCTCAGCCCTACGGGACCTCTCCCACCGCAAGATGGTCCTTCAGCAAAAGCTTGACACAGCCAAGAAAGCCTATGGAGACATGCTTGAGGAGATGAAGGGCATTCAGAGCAAGCTGGAAGCGGAACAAGGTGCTCTGAACTCCACGAGCGCGACCTACATGGAAATGGTGAAGACCACCAAACCGGTCGTTGAACTCCAGGATGGGGATGCCATGGAGGACACAGTACCGGAAGCCGTAGCCGGGTTCATAACGACCCTTGGAGTCAGTCTGACGCCTGACCAGAAGGCACAGCTCACCACGATGCTGAAACGACCTTCGTCCGATGCTCCGGATGAAGACAGCAAGCGCTGCAAAACGGCCGAGGAACTCCAGCAGTGTGGGTAACAGGGGCTTGGTGGTGGCTTCTGAACCTTTCTCATCTTCTGAAACGACAGGGGTTGCTGATATTTTTCAGCCTGGGGGCAATGATCAATTGAGTTGCAGGGTTGCAGTCAACTCGTTTGATACTTTTGCAGCGTGGGGCTCGAATCAGGTCCCTTGTAGTCACGGGGGCTATGGACCTTGGCGAGACCCTCACCCTTTCAAACTGAGAGGAGGCGGATTGCGTTCCTCCGCTCAGACGGGGCAGCAATCAAGGAGCCCAGGGGCACCGAGCTCTTCTTCGTCAGTGCAGGTCCCCAGGGACTCTGCAGAACGCGGGACCCCTCAGGCTCGCTTGGTTGCCCAGAAGGCCAGCCCAATCTATGTTGCATAACGTCAAAACAAGAAGCAAAGGAAACGTCCGGGGGCCTAGGGGCAAAAGTACAGTCCCAAGCACAGTGCCGCCATGTAGCGCGCTCTCCCTCCCCACCACACCAAGGACAAGAGAACCCAGAACCAGGGACCATTTTTTCAAATCTCGCAGGGCTGACTTGAGCCCCTGTGACCACCGCCACTTCATGGCTGGACAGGTGCAAAAGCCTGAGGATCTTGACCCGAGGCGCAGAGTAAATTGTTCCCGCGCACTCACGGCTATCCACTCGATCCATGGCTAGCCATTTATGAAAAAAGGTGTGCCTCCAAGATTCTCGGAGAAGGTGCCGGACCTCACGCACATGGTCTTTCCAACCAGCATCCTGTTCAATGAAGCTCAGGGTCGTTTGCAATCCCGGATGAGACCAAGTCCAAGAGGAGGACTCCGTCCAACCAAGGTCATGAAGTCCTTGACGCAATGCGCCAGGCCAGCCAGACTTTTCATTTTGCCAATCCAGCACATCATGGACGAGGGCCACACGCATCCTTCGTCCACCTTTTTGACACCGGGGCAACAAGCCCTGTACGATCTTTGCAAAAAAGACCTTGATGCTTCGAGGCAAGATTTTGAGACTCATTGGACCATCATCAAAGGACAACAATTTCTGGTTGACCTTCGCCGGATGGAGAACACGCTCCACAAGATCTTAGCAGTGCAAGGAGATGTTCCCCATCTTGCCACTAATGTCTATGTGGTGGCCCAGGCCCTGACGAGTATCCTGCGAAACCCACAGAACATGTGTTTCGGGAATTCAGTCTTTAGGTGCTGGAGTTGGGCAGGAGCTCATGCAGAGGATCAGTCGATAGCCTGGGGCCGCACTCATGAAGCTGTCCGACAATTCCTCTCGGCGGACCAACCCTCACACCTGCATGAGCTCACGCAGATGCATCATGTCTTGCAGCACTTTCAGGCTGGACGTCAGGCCGACATAGGCGACTTCGCAGGGCATTTGTGGAGCTTTTCGGAGAGCACCTTCTTTGGAGGGAAGTTTTTCCATGTCCATGCTGACGGGCGGTTGGAAGACCGAGAACAGATCCCCTTGAACTTGATGTTTCCGGATGGGGAGCATCCGCTCACGCTGGATGAGGTGGTCAACTCCTGGGCCAACGAGGACGGAGGGCAGTACCTCTACGGCACTCCGGACGGCCTCATTGTGCACCTCCAAAGATCAACCTTCCTTCAAGGCCAATGGACCAAACACAACAGGGCTTTAGAGTTTGGCACGAGCATCAACATTCCCTTCTCGGACGATGGCATTCATGTCCATCAAGCCACCTACCGAATTGTCAGCCTGATACTTCATCAAGGACACGGCCACGAGAATGGTCATTACGTCACCATCCATGCCATGGACAATGCTTACTGGCTTGCGGATGATGATCAATATCCTCAACCACTGGGGCAGGTCTCTCAGCAGCAACAACAAGAAGTGGTGCAACTATGGCTGATCCATGATCAGCAAGAACTGGTTCCGGACACGGTGGAAGCATTGCAGCCCAGTCAGGCCAAACGGGCCAAGCACCACTACGAAACTCTCCACCTCATCTTTGCCAATGTGACCTCCTTCGGTGGGCGAGTACAGGACTGGATCTGGACCAAAGGGGACCATTTGCTTTGCCTGCAGGAGACTCACCTGGGTGACAAGAAACTGGCTGAAGTGCAACAGTACTTCAATGCTAGAGGCTGGAAGACTCATGGCACTGCCGCCACGAACACCGGACGGGGCGGCAACACTGGCGGTTTCCTCACTCTTCATGGGCCCCGGCACATCACGCACTTGGACCATTCCTACAACCTGGATGGAAATGGGTGGATGTCCATCGGCCTCCAACGACAGGACAGTATGATCTTCATCATTCAGTTGTACCTCAAGACTGGGGAAACGCTACAATCACCTTCCAATGCGGACATCCTGGGTTCTCTCCTCACCTATTTGAGTCACATCAGGGCTCCCTTCATTTTGGGAGGGGACTGGCAGAATGACCCGGGGGCTTTAGCCGCCACAGTCATCCAAAGCAGGTTCCGAGCTGAGATCATGGACACCAAAGGCCCTACCACTCTCCAAGGGGCACAGCTGGACTACTTGCTGGTCTCCAACTCTCTGGTTCACAGCATCTCCGTAGCTGCCAATTGGGAGGTTCCTTGGAAGCCTCACTGCGCTCTCGAGCTGACCTTCAATTGTGACTACGCGGCCATCCCTGTCCAACAGCTCCAGCGCTTCCCTCCCATCGGACGCACGCATGCTCTGCCGGCGGCATGGACCAGTTTTTGGGAAGATGACGGACCCTTTCACATCATGGGTCAAAACATTACTGGACTTGGCTCTGACTTTGCTCGGTGGGCCACGCAAACGGAGAAGTACTTGACCCAGTTACTCCACAACCCCACCACTGGCAGGGGCTCGAAGATCTCCATCTACCAGGCTCCTCTGGTGGATCACACCAGATCTCAAACTTGGAAGAAAGGGTCAGTCGCCTACTGGGACAAGATGAAGATTCGGGTCAACATCGTGCATCAGTCTCAACCAACCAGGGTGGCACAGGATCTTCTCAATATGTTGGACTCCCTTCACCAACATGCTTCAGACCATATGAGCCAAGATCTCTTCCGAGCACTTATGACTCATTGGATACAGCATCCCGAAAATGAGCCACTGGAGATCAGACGCATCATGGCGGAGGAGGAACAACTCGCTCACAAGGCCATCTTCGCCACCACCAATGACGAATACAAAGTTTGGCTTGAGAAGGCACATCACAAAGGACTACGAGGGTTGTTTCGGTGTTTGAGGCAAAAAGACGTTCCTTGGCAACGTCCTCACCAACACTTGCCACTGGAACAACGGCAGGCCGCGAGACAACAACAATGGGAAGATATTTGGCATCCACGGGATGATCCCAGACCACTCCGGCAATGGGACCTGCTACTTCAAGCTGCTCAAGACCAAGCACAACAGCTGCCTCCTATTCAATCTCATCTCTTGGGCCAAATGCTTCGCCGCCTTCCAAACAAGGCAGCAGGGCCGGATGGGATCTCCTATGACTTCCTACGACACCTGCCTTACCCCCGCTGTCGCCAAACTGGCGGGTTTGCTCACCAACATGGAACGGGAAGGGGAGTTACCCATTCAACTTCGGGTGACATTCCCAAAAACGACAAGGTGGAGCGGCCCATTGCCCTCACCAGCTGCCTGTACCGGGTATGGTGCCATGTGAGAAAGGCGGACCTTCAGCGGTGGCAGCTCTCCTTGGATGAAAACCTCCCTTGGGATCAGGCCAGACCAGGCAAGGATTGTTTGAGCATTGCCATCGGCCGCATGCTGCACGCTGAGATAGCCAAACATCAGGGCATCCACACCGTCACCTGCTTGGCGGATCTCACGCGCTTCTATGATCATGTCGACTTGGACGCCATCATCGAACCAGCTCGTGAGCTTGCTTATCCTCCTCTGCATTTGAAGTTGGCTCTTGACCTCTACCGAGGTCCCAGGACGTTGCAAGCTGAAGGCATCAATGGGGATCCCAAGCACTATGACCGGGGCATTTTGCAAGGGTGTCCACAAGCGCCTGCCATCTCCAAACTCATCCTCTTCAAGCCGCTCAAGGCTATGGTGACGGAGCATCCGGCAGCAGCACTTCAGACTTGGGTTGACGATGTCAGTTTTGACATCCACTCTGAGAGCTTTGCATCAAGGCACCCTGCATGGCATTTCTGGACACTGCCCTTTGTGTGGTGTGGATCTGACCTTTGTTCACCTCCTCTGGGAATGCTCCTTTTGGAAAGGGAGGACCAAAGCCTTGCCGGAAGAATGGATCTCTCGCCTCACCTTTGGCACTGATCCGGAATTGTGGCAACGGGGCTTCGTTCAAAGCCTCTTCTATGAGCCGGAGGAAGGACTTGCCACCATCGAGGGCACTGGCCTATGGAAGGACTTGGGTTTCCTCAAGGCTGACAAAGGCCTCATTTGCTCCATAGCAGTGGCACCCACGTGTGGGGACAGACGACACCGACGCTTTGCTTTTGCTGTGTGTGCTCATCACACCAAAACCAGACAGCAAATCGCATCCATCTCTGGCATTTGCCCTGCGCCGGCCACCAAAAGGAGGGCCATTTTCTTTGCGTTGAAGCAGTTGGCCTTGCATGTGGTGGAGAAGACCCCGGTGGCACTATATGATGTCAAGTCTTGGCAGACATGGAAACCACATCTTGCTTTTGAGACCTTTCCCGACCTCTTCCCAGGCCTTGAGTTTGAGGATTTCGATCATGTGTGGCCACTTCTTTTCTCCACGAAGGAGCTGCAGCAGAATGAACTGCGAAGGGTCACTCAGAGAGACACTCAGAAGCTCGCATCCAAGACGGGTAAACTCTTTGAACCCACCGAAATCTTGGACATGCAAGCACATGTTGACAATGACGCCCATGAGATCCTCCTGCAGGCTGGGGAACGGATGAGCATTTTGCTTCGCAACAAAGACCACTTCCTGCACCAGAAGGACAAGGTCATGGAGACTAAGGTACCTTTGCTGAGATGATTCTGGCGGACTTGTTGGTAAAAGAGTCCAGTGCGGGACACGCATGGGAGGCCTTCCGGAGTGGCATTCAGTGTCGCCATTGCAAGCTCCGGTACCACACCAAAAACATGTTGGAGGAGCTGAAGGATGCCAATGAACGCCCTTGTGAAAAGGCACCAAGATCCACGCCTCCACGGCAAACCAGGATGGAGATGATTCATGCCCTCGTGGCCTCCCAACAGGCGCCTCAGCCTGGCATCCACCATTTGAAGTTGGATCGAGCGTATCTACGCTGCAGTGAATGCAAAAGCTACATTTTGGCCAGAACCAATGAGGATGCCTTCACCAAGTTTGTGGCTGAGCCGTGCCTTGTGGGCCCTGTGCCGGCTGATGAGTGGCCTGGTCATGGCTCTCATACCATGATGCGCAAGGGCAGCGCGCTTGAATGCAGCCGATGCCATTCCCGGGCGCGGCTTGTCAATGGTGAGATCAAGGTGACGGCCAGGCTAGCAGCTAGATGCGTGTTCCAAAGGAACAAGGACTTGAGACAAATGTTCTCCTGAAACGCCAACAGCAGAAAAGACGCGCAAAAATATATATATATATATATATCTGAAGTTGTTAATCAGCATTACCAAGCTAGTGCTGAGACACCTGACGTTTCTCTCATTTCACCTGAAACCTTTCATAGTATCATAAAGTCATCTCCTTCTCCAGAGTCGTCAGGGGGAGATGAAGTGACTAACTTGGTCAAGATTCAAGATCACAGCAGCTGAACATCTGAAAAGCAGAGGCAGCGAGAGAGACAAAATTGACACTGTGGCCAAGCCGTGTCAGAAAAACAACTGAGAGCAAATTAACGTCTCCACGGCCACAAGCTTTGCTATTTGACACCAATCAGTTTGAAGCATGTGGTGTAGCTCTCTTGTTTGATTGACCTGTACCCTAAGCCTCTAAGCTGGCCTTTACAAAAAACATGAAATGGCGAGAAGGGAGGCTTTAACCAATATGCTCATGATATCTTGAGCCTGCATCATGATCTGGCAAATAGAAATGCAGTTCATACACGGTTCCGTGAATGCACGACCAACAATCGAAGGGCGTGTTGTGTTGTGCAATCTCTGCCAAAGAGATAGGATTCTGTCTGCCGACGCTTGACCCGACAGGAGTGCCACCATACTTTCCCACCAACTGCGCGTTCATGCCGATCATGATCTGCAAATAGGACCATGGGTGCTTGCCAGTGAAAGATGTGGTGCCATCCTTTCCACACCATGAATGCACAATGTTCCCTCCACTGTGCTTGTAGTTAGAAATGTCATAGACGCCGCAACCCAAGACCATCCAGCAGTCAGTTGCTGTGCTGTGAGTTTGGAGTTCCGCATTCGTCACAGTCACTGCAGGTGGCTGTGGCTCGTTTGCACGGCATTCCCTTGCAGGGACTTGGGCCTTCGGACCTGTGAGTTCCGGGGAAGTACCTATGCCACTGCCAGTGCTGACAGGAGCACCATTGGTAGTGCAACTGCCCACACATCCTCGGCCAAAGACAGCCAATGGTTTTCAGAAACAGTGCTTATTTTCAAGGGGTGCGAATATATTTCTGTTTTTTTTTTCGTTTTTTTTTAATTTTTTTTTGTTTTTCGTGTTTCGTGGCAGGTGCAGTACTTTGTGGAC